GGGGGAGGGGTGGTGGTATAATATGCTACGTCGTGTCATCTCTTAAAGTCAGGTTGAAGGTCTTGGTATAATGCTTAGATTGTAATTGAATGCCTAGGTATATCCTATATGAAAGGTATGCTGTACCGTGTGAGCTCATAGAGTGAGATGGAAGGTCTAGGAATGTTATACACATGCTTGTATGCTGTACCGTACCGTGTCATCTCGTAGAGTGAGACTGAGATTGAAGGTCTAGGAGGAATGTTATACATGATGCATGTATGTTGTACCGTGCGATCTCATAGAGCGAGATTGAAGGTCTATGAACACACATGCTTGTATGCTGTACCGTGTCATCTCATTGAGTGAGATTGAGATTGAAGGTCTAGGAATGTTATACTTATACATGATGCATATATGCCGTACCGTGTCATCTCGTAGAGTGAGATGGAAGGTCTAGGAATGTTACACATACATGCATGTATGGTGTACCATGTCATCTCAAAGAGTGAGATTGAAAGTCTAGGAATGGTATACATGCATGCATGTATGCTGTGCCGTGTCATCTCGTAGAGTGAGATTGAAGGTCTAGGAGGAATGTTATACATACATGCATGTATGCTGTACCGTGTCATCTCGTAGAGTGAGATTGAAGGTCTAGGAATGTTATAGATTCTACATGCATTTATGCTGAACCGTGTCATCTCATTGAGTGAGATTGAAGGTCTAGGAATGTTATAGATTCTACATGCATTTATGCTGAACCGTGTCATCTCATTGAGTGAGATTGAAGGTCTAGGAATGTTATAGATTCTACATGCATTTATGCTGAACCGTGTCATCTCATTGAGTGAGATTGAAGGTCTAGGAACATGTAATACATACATGTATGCTGTACCGTGTCATCTCATTGAGTGAGATTGAAGGTCTAGGAATGTTATAGATTCTACATGTATATATGCTGTGCCGTGTCATCTCATTGAGTGAGATTGAAGGTCTAGGAACATGCTATACATACATGCATGTATGCTGTACCGTGTCATCTCGTAGAGTGAGATTGAACGTCTAGGAACATGTTATACGTGCATGTCGTCCGTCACGTCATTAAGTAAGATTAACAAAGGGCGCGACACACACGTCCCAAGATCACTTCCGCAAACACCCCCAGCGTGACCCAGCATGTGTGGCCGGCGGCCGGGGCTAGAGTCTAGGCCCAAAACTGGCTGTTGCACTTCGTGATAAATTTTATCACTGCTTAAGTGGACAGTGGTGAGACTATAAAGCCCCCCCCCCCCCCTAACCCCCCTCTACCCAACACAATGGATTTTCCAATGTGAATTATGACCATAGTCCTAGATAGTAGATGCAGACAGCAAGTTCCCAGAAATAGACATCCCCAAGATAACGCACAACACGTTCAGTAAACTGACAGTTCTGTTCCAACGTGTGTTGAATTCGTAGGTTTTAGAGTTTGTTGGTGGGTGGTTGGCGGGTGCTCTAGTGCGGTTAGCTTCTTCTTTCCTATCACACATCTATCGTCCTTATTCCTCCTCCTTCTTTTTTATGTTTGTTAGCCTACTCTCTTGTAACACCTTCTTCTGGCGCTCATATGGCCTTATGCAGTTGCGAGCGCCCTAAAACCTCTACTAAAACTAAACTAAAGAGTTTGTTTTCATGTCTTGGTAAGAGTTTTACGGTTGGACTTCTTGCGAGTAGCTGCAACACAATTAGGTTAAAAATGAAAGTGCCGAAGATTTGAGGTGTTACAAGAGAGTAACATCACAAAAAAAAGAAGGAAGAGAGATAAGGACGATATTATATTATGTTTGATGGGAAAGAAGGAGCAAAGCACATCACGGTGACACCGGTCAACCATGGCACAATATTTTAGAGTTTCATAAACATATAAATAAATGAATAAATAAATGCGCTCTGATAATTTTATCTTCTAAAATCCAAGTGTGAAACAATGGCAAGTTGCATAGACAAATGAAGAAAGGTCTGTTCAAAACAGAAAGCCAAACGGTTTAGATGGGGCTCTCCTGGCCTAGGGGTTAAGGTGTTGGCTTCTCATTCAACTAGGTCCCGGGTTCGAATCCGGGTAGCGACAGCATGGTAGCGACCGAAAAAAATTATTCTCTAAAATTGTCTCCTTTCACCTCCTTTCCTGCTCTCTAACAGTGTTCTGTCGTCTGCTTTCGTCTCCTCTTTCTGCCTCCACCCCTCACCTTCTTTGCCCCCTCCTCTGGGCTCCAGACTCTTTCTGCAGCCTTTCAACTGCTACTCCTTGGCTCCTTCTTACTGCCGTCTTTCAGTGACACCCCTAATCTTCTGGTAGAAAATATCTACTCCTAGTCTTCTCGGACAAGGGCGAAAATTCTCGGAGGGCCCATGTGCAAGTCGCTCACGTTTAACTTTAAGATTTCCTACCAACTGAAAGTTTAAAGGTTTAATGTTTCCCGCGCGTTCATATGACCTAATGCAGTTGCGAGCGCCGTAAAACACTCACCAAAAAAAAAAAGAAAAGAAAAAAAGATTTATATGACGAACTGAACTCAACTGAACCAGGGATTGGGATGGGTGTCTTAACTCTGACCAACCACAGCAGTTTGAAATTGAGAAAGTCTAGCTTTAACCGTTACAATTGTATTTCCTTCGACCTCATGAAGTAGCCTTGTGTGATGAACGTTTGAGCCGTTGTGTGTAAAGGGGGCATTACACGTTCAGTTAAAATTGATGGTTTTCCGTCCTCTCAGTGAAAAAGAAAATAATACAAGCGCTGATGCAATCTTTGCAAAAAGATTTCTTCGTTTTAAATGATGTTCAAAATCCAGTAAGAAAAAGAGTCACTTGCGAGCCACTGTGTTAAGTTTGAGACAATTGTTCCGAATTTGACAATATTTTTACGATAGATAGGGCATTGATCTAGTTTTCAATAACTTGATAAACGAAAATTCTGTCATTCACAGGCAAAAGACAATCTTGCTGCCCTGCCGGACAGTCAACCTCAGGTGCAGCCCGCCGACGATTTAAAATATGAAGAAAGGTAAAAATTACGAACGTATTTAAAATCACGTAATGTCGTAAAAACAATACCAACATGCGAACGAGCGTTTAACAAAACGACTTATGGGTGATCTTTGTCCTTGCTGGACCATAAAGATCACAACAAAAGATGGGGTGGTTGGCGGATGCTCTGGTGCGGTTTGCTTCTTCTTTCCTATGAAACATCTATCGTCCTTATCTCCACTTCTTCTTTTTTATGCTTGTTACTCTCTTGTAACACCTCTAATCTTCTGGCCCTCATATGACCTCTTATGCAGTTGTGAACGCCTTAAAACTCGCACTAAAACTAACTAAAACAAAAAAATGTAGACTGCATCACGAAGTACATGTACACGTAAAAAAAATAATAATAATTTCTTATCACAGAGGGCGGCGAACAGTCAGTTTCAACTGAACGTGCTATACCCCCTTAACTTCTTTTGTTTACCCACGCTAGCACCGCGAACTGATTACAGGCACCAGAGATAACAAGGAGGGGGCGGAGCTACGCTCGTCGCCTTTACTCATTTGCATGTGATTGACAACTGATAACGGACTAAACATTCTATGCGCATGCGTGTACCATTCACCGGTCTTGTCAAAGGGGCTGGAACCTCCATAACTTTGTAAACAAAACGGCCCAAGATAGCATTGTTCAAGGGTGTGTGTGCCTAGTGCGCTGTGAGATCACGGCTACACGACACAGTGAAAAGCCGCACATGTGCCTTGTGGAGTAGACTACCCCCGGCTTGTTCAACACCCGGCTTCATGATAGTGTTGGACTTCGGTGACTCAGAATTTCGATTTGATGTGTCTTGTTTCAGTTACGCCTACTGTTGGATGTTATTTCTTCATCAAGTGTGTTAGTGTTGTGGGTGGTACTTCCTTCCTTGTCGCCGTCCTTGTGAATTATTAGATTAGTATTGAAATAGTATTAGCCTTGTAGACCTGGTGGACTGGATATTCTCGACTTAGACTTAGACAAACGATTGAATTACTGTTTGTTCTTCACAATCGAAAGTCAAAAATCAAAAGTGTGTTGCCGTTTATTTCGTTCCTGTGGATTTTGTTTTCATGGTGTTTGAAATCATGGGTACCCCGTGCGACAACAACAACAAGCAAATCCAGGGTGTGTCGGGTACCCCGAATGAAGGTAAGCTGAGGGCTCTTATGGAGAAAACCGGGTACCCGATGGTTCAAGAGAATGGGCAGAGGAAACTAGGACCGCCACCTGGTTACGATGGCCAGGTTCCCGAGAAGGGTTGTGAAATCTTTATCGGAAAAATACCACGAGATATGTACGAAGATGAGATTGTGCCCGTATTTCAAAACGCGGGTAATATTTACGAGTTTCGGCTCATGATGGATTTCAGCGGTAGTAATCGAGGGTTCGCCTTTTGTACTTACTGTAAAAAATCCGAAGCGAAAAGAGCAATAAAGGAATTGAACAATTTTGAAATAAGGAAAGGCAGATTTCTTGGTGTTTGTGCGAGTGTAGATAACTGCAGACTCTTTGTTGGTGGAATTCCGAAAACCAAGTTGAGAGAGGAAATTCTGACGGAGATGGCGAAGATGTCCGAGGGAGTTGTCGATGTAATTATGTATCCCCATGCCGTCGACAAGTCGAAAAATCGTGGGTTTGCTTTCGTGGAGTACGAGAGTCACCGAGCTGCCGCAATGGCGAGGAGAAAGTTGATTCCAGGTCGAGTGCAGTTGTGGGGGCACACGATAGCCGTAGACTGGGCGGAACCTGAGCCGGAGACGGATGAAGAAACAATGGCGACGGTAAGTGAAGTGAAGTGACCGCACCGCAACCGCTGGGTTCTCTTGAACCAGGCCAGGCCCAGGCAGGTCTGATTGTTTCGGCAAGTTGCGCAATCCACCCCTCCTTTACGATCAGCAGGTTTGAACTATCTTCTCTCCCCC